TTCTCCAGATCTATTCCAGCCTCCCAAACATCATCCAAAATTACAAGAAATTTCTTCTTTTCTATGAGCTTTGCCCTTATTCGATCTGCAACTTGTTCTGGTGGAAGTTCGGTAGGAAGCAGATCCATACCCAAGTCACGTGCAATGTCACGTTGAATACTTTTCAAGTCCGGGTTCTTTGTCACTTTAGCCATAAGTACCGCAGTAAACAAGCTGCCTTGCTTGGCTATTCCTTTAACCATTTTCACAAGCATCGTCTTCCCCACACCGGAAGTCCCATGCACTCCGATCTTGTTTACGGTTGGACTTTTTAGGGCCTCCATTATCTGCTTCAAAACAGCCATTCTAGAGAGGAACTCCTCAAACCCTTCCACAAATGCAGCAACGTCCTGTTGTAGAGGAGGAGGGCGGGAAAATGGGAGGGCCCCGAATCGAGCAGCTTCTTCCAGATGTTGAACAATATTCTGGGAATTCTTCTGTGCTTTCCTGCTCAGCTTGTAACGAGGAATGAGATTGGGACACAGCCGAAAGAAACACTCCTCCTTGGCAAATTCATCACCAACTCGTACTGGTTCTCCTGCCGCTTTGATGAATTCGTCTGCTTTAGTCAACCAAGTCTGCACTGTGTCATCAATTATTTCTCCTCTTCTGCGAATATCAGCCTCATAGTTCTCCACCAGCTTCTTTTGATCCTTCAGCTTGTCAACTTGGTTCTTCAGATTCTCAACATTCTCGTTGCACTTGCGCACAACAGTGATTGGATTTAAAATAAAATCCAAAATCCGATCAACTATGTTCTCAACAACTTTGGCAACAACAGCGTCGGAAATTGGATCGGGCATCTTCTAGGGATTTTCAGAACTAAGCAGATGAGAAAACAAAATTAGAGGCAAAACAAGTTAACAAGGCCAAAGAAATCAAACAGTGGGAAGAGTACTGGAATTGAAGAGATAGATATATAATGCGAAAAGGATTTGGTTGAGAGGAAGGGAATGAAAAAGTCGGCTTTCTTTTTTTTTTTTTTTTTTTTTTTTTTGAGCTGAGAGAATGAAACTGAGATAACGAAACAACACAAAGGGTGAGATTAGTGGAAGATCGAGCTGATTTTGTGTAAAAGATGAAAACGGATAGAGGGAGTAGAGAACAAAAGCAGAAAAATCAAATTAAACAAAGCGTGAGAGACGAGAATGATGAAAGGATGAGGTGATTTGTGTAAAGGGAGGTGAGATGAAGTGCAAAGAGTAGCGGAAGAAGATGGAAAGAAGGATTGAGAAAAGACGATGAAGGAAACAAGTTGGGAAGAAAGCAAATTAAATGAAATGGTGGAGCACAGCAGAAGTGAAAAGAGCGATAACTGAAGTTCAGTTTCAGAGAAATCAAAGCGAAACACTCACCGAGTTCAGTTCAAAGGAGCTTTGAATATATAGGCGCTCTCTGGGTCATAGCATGTCCATTAAAGAGAACAAGACACAGTAAAAAGTGAAAAGGACGAAATTGACTAAATTAATAAATTATGTTTTAGCGATTATTACAAAGAGAAGTCACTAGTGTGTGAATGACAAAAGCAAACCTTTTACTGGAGCTCTTAGTGGTTAAAATGTTTAAATGGAATGAGTGGTTTAAAAAAAATAAGAGTTATTATTTATTATATAATTTATTGTTTTATATATAAAATAATAAAAATATATTTTTTTACTTTCAAATTAATTGCATCTAAATAGCAGGATAAATAAAAAAATAAAAAATTTGACGCCATAATTTAAATGATCAATTGCTTTTTGGTTTTTTTTTTTTTAAATTAACTATTTAAAGAGACTAAAAATCTAAAAATATGTAGCTATAAATATGTCACTTAAAAATATAAGAAAGATTTTTTTATTAAAATATGAACAATCAATTTGGAAATTCATAATTAAGGAGAGAGAATGAGACTGCAAAAAGAAAAGATACATGCAGGCCATTAATTAAATAAGGGTAAAAATTTAAATAATTTTATAGATATTTATTTATTTTTAAGCTGGATTTACACAGTAGTTTTCTATTTTATATATTTGGTAACGGTGCTTAGTTTGAGGCTTTGAGCATAACACTCAGAAGTCCCCTAACTATTTGTTTTTGAGACTATTAGCCCTTCAACACAAACTCTTTGTGATTTAGTCCTTAAACTTCATATTGAGATTTATTTCATTGGATCGAACGGTAGTTTAATTAAGATTCTATGTGGGAAAGAAAAAGCCATATTCCAAGAGCAACTGGGGAGTTAACTCAATAATTTATCCTTCGAATAAAAGTTAAACTGGATCATAAAATGATAGAGTTAGATAAATTCTACAAATACTATAAACGGGTCAACATTTTTTTTTCTATAACCTACAAATATAAGTATATAATATACCTAACATAATTTCACTAACTAATCATAATATATCATAACTTATTATAAGTTAAAAGAAAAATTAAAAGAATTCATTGTATGTAATAGATATCCATATATATTATAAAATAATGTAAACTGTACAATACATATTAATTATATGTAATGAAATCTGTCATTACTTTAATTAATAAGAAACTTTAAATTTACTCTTCATAATATTTCTCCTTTTCCTTTTTTCCATTTTTGATTTTTTCCCATCCTCTTCTCGAATTGGCATCTAAATTATAAATTTCAAAGAGATTTTATTACTATTTTGCTCAAAATTTAAATTTATACTTAGATTGACCTATTGCCTTAAACATCTATTTTAAACGTATTTATTATTTTTGAGTTTTTTTAGTAAATAAAATAAAAAAATAACCATTCTTTAACAAAAAGGAAAGCTTTTAACTTATAATTATGAAGTAGAGTAGTCAAAAAGTGATTTATATAAATTTTAAATTTTTAACTCATATTATTATATATTATGTAAGGATAAAATAACCTTAAAATTCCCAAAAACTTGAAAAGAAGACAGAAATAATCAAGCACTGTTAAATTAAGGATTTTTTCTAATAAGCGTTTTAATTATTTTATAAATAACTAAAATGTATATATATATTTTTTCAAGAGTTTAGGGGGATCATGCTCCCCAGCCCCACTTATACTCCGTCAATGGATTCAAACAATAATGTTGAATTTGTTATTCAATCAACGGGATTGCCGGGTTGGCCGGCCGAGTTTTACAAATTTGACTAGATTTGACCGGATCAACCTTCAAAATCGATTAGAGTATTTTCCCAACTCAATTTTTTTAGAGTTTTTATAATGGTATATATTAAGAGTATAATTTTATTTTAAATATATATATATAAATAAAATTTGATAATAATTTTAAAAAATTAGTGTGTATTAATCTCAATTTTTAAAAATAATTATTCTCAATCTATATTTTAAAATTAAAATTTCATCCTATTAAGTATTAATATTTAAATTTA